GATGCATTTCTGTCGTCATACCCGAGTGGGAATAACCTAGACTAAGTGGAAATAACATAATTATGTTATTTCCACTTAGTTGAAGAATTTGAAAGCACATTGGTATCAAAACTTGTGAAGTTGCTATTAGGATTCTACGGTGGATGCCTATTGCGAATTTGTTTTTTTTTTTATTTTATTCTATAGTTCAGAATTTACACCAACTGCACGGTGAAAAAGAAATTATTGTATTACTCCACAGGAGTTATGTCAGATTGTAGTTTGAATTTTAAATACATCTATTTCTGTAGCATCAGAACGCAATTGGTTAATTTTTGCAAATATATACGATTGAAAGGAATCGAATTACTTACGATCATATTTCAAAACTGCCTATAAAGTGACAATGATAAAGGATTAAGATTTTGAATTCATGAATAATGAAACTATAGAAAAATGCTGATTATAAAGACTATAGTCGAAAATGAAAGTAAAAATAACGAAGAAACAAATTATAAGCAAACATTAAATAATAGTAAAATGTTTAAAAATATTATGAATATAATACAAGTTTTAAGTAAATATGTACTGTATCAAAAAAACAACTACTACTAGCCAATACTTAATTCTCATAAACTTTATCTTACCAAGCCGGTCGAACTGAATGAAAATTAAGCTTAGTGCTTTTCGGATATTTCTATTAAAAAGAAAAAAAAATTAAGATTCAAAATAATGAAGTAAGCAATCGAGATAAAATTATTTAAATGTTTTATATACAAATTTTTACCATTTAACAGAGTGAAATACCTGGGTATTAACTATGTAGCATATATCATTTCTATGAAATACACCTCTTATATAATACCCAGGTACTAACTTGGATTTTAGCTGTAGAATGTATTGTATCTGGGGTACTATAGTCTGCGCTATACGGCAATTATTTTTATTAAGGATATTTATAATTTTTAGTGACAATGTTTAAGATAGGAATAGTAAATATATTAAATAATGACAAATTACTAAACTCAATAATCTGCTAAACTCTAAATTTTGTCTTGCATGATGTTCACTTCATATCTTGCACGAGATCATATGATATGCAAAATATATACTAAGTTCATCAAGCGAGAGGAACATCTTTAATAAGTAGATATAAAACATAAGATAAATCTGATTGGTTTTATAAACATCTAAATTAGGATGCTGGTAATACAAACTCCTAAGAAGGAAACAGCGCTCTCTAACTTCACGTACGTACATACGTATTTATTCAGGTTGGTATTACTAGCACAAATAAGTAAACCTAGTTGACAACATCAGATGTAGTCCAAAATTTCTGGGATCGACAATCTGTATAACATGTAAATATGATTAATTTGATTGTTCGTATAATATTTATCAAATTGTATCTTCATTAATTTATTATTAACTATTTGTATTTAAAAAACGATTAATAAGTATAATAGATATTCAAATAAATGTATAGTATTTAGCTTTATGTATCATATAGCATAGATAACAGGCGAATATAAATTAAAGAAGCAAAAGTATATAATATAAAATAAATTTAATAAATCTTAGAGCCAAAATAATGGCAATATCATATATTGGTCAATAAATCTTAGAGCCAAAATAATAGCAATAATGAATATTATACTGTATATTGATCAATAAATCTTAGAGTCAAAATAATGACAGTAACAAATCCTGTATTACTAAAAGAACATATTATATGGAATTTTATCATTCGGAATTATATTGCATAAGGCATTTAGAGTAAATTTTATAACCTGTCTATAGGGATCTTTCTACTATAAATTCATATCAATATTAATGTATTAAATATCCAATGTTCGTACATAGCAGAAGAATAAAATTATGCTACTAACAATTAAAATCAATCCATTAAATTCAGTATATTAAATATTATCTTTATTAATTGACACCTAAAGCAAATTAACTAATGAATCATTATAGATTTTAATAGTTTAAATTCTAATTATAAGTTCTTCAAATTTATTCAACAAACTCAACTTGCGATTATCATAAGCTACGACCATGTTATTATAGCTAAACCTTTGGCAGGTCATAACACTTTATACTCTAATTTGTATGCAATATATAAATAAAAAAAAAACTGTTAAATATTAATGTATGTAGAAACTTTGTCTTAATTGCTTAATATTATCTTGAAGCTAAAATATTAAATAAACAGTTAAACATTAATAGATTAATATAATTGCGATATTACCTTATTGCATGAATAATGTCCATAGCTTTGATTTCTTCAGAGTTTTCTGCACCGTCTTTTGTATTATGAAGATTCAATATCATCAATAATGGTAAACGTACGTTTTATATTATTAATTACATTTTCTATATGCCGTAGATTATTTTTTGATAGTTCATTATTCAAGTATTCCACAAGACGTTCCAATATACTTATTTTAGATTCACAGTATTAACGAAGCTCTGGGTCAATATTTTTATCATTCACATTTTCAACAAGAAAATTATTTCTTAACATATTTTCTTGTGTTGAGGATTTTGTATTGGTATCCATACAGGTATTAAAAGGTGAGTCTTGTATTCTATTACTATTACCATTCTAAATTAAAAATAGATAGTCTGTATGTCATTTAAAATTAGAATATACTAAACAGACACCCTCAGAATTATATGTTTTTGCATATTCAATTGCATTGTGAATCAAATGTTTACAGATCAAAAAATGTCTATTAAGGAATGATGGGCAGCTACACACCCAATTCGGTAAATCAGTTTTGTAATTTTCTTTAGCACTATCAGTAATTGGTTTTGATGCAAGCCGCTTCCATTCCTTTTTAAAATCATTAAACCATGATGGAATTACACAACCAAGATACTTTTGCTAAAAACGATTTACTTGATCAGGAATTACACATAAGCAAATAATCTATACAAGATAGTCCAGTCTAAGTCGATTAAAGTGATAGAGATAACAGTGCTTAAGTACCCTCCAGTGTGACTCTATAAGCATGTTAGTTTTTCCTAATAGAATCGTTGGCCATGTTGAGCATGTTCAGAGGTACCACCATTCCATTTTATACCAGGAGGACTACAAATACGTCTATAATAGAGGAAGTTTGTTGGTAAAACAAAAATCATAAATTTCATGTACTGCGCTTTTTTGAATATCTTCAGGGGTTAAGGACTAACCATCTGCATTGACAGGAATTTTGAAATGCATGTTAAAGTGTTTTTTAACAAGATTAAGAATATGTTGTCTAAGATTTTGTGGACAGATTTCATAAGATTCTGGTTTATAATTTTTCAAATTTGGTTTAAATTTTGGATCAATAAAATCGAATGTTGCGATTGCATTCTCAACTTGATAATGGATACGCTGAACTTTTTTTTTACTCTTAAGTTTTAAACTCAGTGCTTTTTCCACATGCCATAGGCACAGTTGTATAGTTGTTTCAGGTTAGGTAGCTTTTGCCAAATTTATTTCGGCAAAATCTTTATTTGTGTAAAAATACTTAGGATATAAATCTCGGCTATAGATTGAATTAAAAAAACCTGAGAGTGTATACGTTCGATTTTTATTTTGTGAATTACTTTCAGAAACTCCTGTAATTAGGATAAGCAAAAAAAAATAATATAAATAATATGAATCACTTATTTATACGTATTATTATTATGATAATCTCTGATTATTATATCAAGATCACGAGAGTATTAATTAATAATATCCTGACCGCATATGAATAAACAAAACTTCATTTCTGCTAATTCCCAACAGATCAGAATATTATTATTACTAATATATAAAAATTGTCTATCCTACCTGTAGTATCTAAAATAAGATATGCTAATAGGTATCCTGAGCTTTTAAAGTTACTGATAAGTTCATATAACTCGAATCTTCCTTTTGCGGTCTTGTAGATTGCATCACAATGGACTTCAGTAATACTCTGATTATTCTTAGTATTAAGTAAAGGTGTTGTAAACCCGATTGCTGTTATTTGATGATTTATCAACTTAAAGCAAGATTCACAGCCAGACGCATGATCTGATAAGAGAAAATTATGCGCTGATATAATATGATTCTCATCTGACTTGTAAAAATTTTGAGAAAATAAAAACTACCAATAATAGATTTGTTGCATTGTAATTTTTGATGTATCAAATCTATCACAAAGGTAGGTTCAAAGCTGCGTAGGATCCAAGTGAAGATTCGTTATAATTGCCTGTTTAATTTCCATTTGTGTTGTGATGTTAACTGGCCTCTCATGGATAATATCATGTCTAAGCTTTACAATTATTTTTGATGCAGGAATATCAACTTTTAGTGTTAACTTTCCATGACAATCAAAACGATCTATTCTCTGATGATTCGACTCTTTATAATCACGTACTAATTCATAAGATTGAGAACAGCCAAAATAAAAAGTACTGACATTCTTATAACAAGTTGAAAGTCGAGGTGCTGTTTTGATTCTTATAAGATTTAAATATGTTAATTATTAATATAAAATAATTTTATTGCTAATTATGTTTAACTACATACGTTCAAGTATAACCATCGCCTTCTTCAATATTATGAGCGATCATATTTGCTATCATTTTAAAACTTTGATCATCTGAAATAGAGATATCGGTGATTTCAACTTGTGCTATAAGAAAAAGTCTAGTACCAGGCTCAAGATTTTCAATTGATTCTGTAATATATTTGCTTAAATCCTTTAGTGAAATTGATTCAACATCATTTTGAGTATCACTACCTAATGTAGTATTTTTAATGGCCCTTTGGTTTGCTTTTTTAACCAAACAATCTGCACATATTTTATATGTTTTTCCATTATATACAAAAGCTTCAGATAGACACTGACGAGAACAAAAGGTATATTTTTCTGTCATTATAAGTAAAGCAATAAGGTGCGTAATACTGATTCTTTATTAAATGATAATAAAACTTAAGCAAATTGAATCAAGAAAAAAAAAAAAGCTGATCATTCTCTTATATAATAAATATTTCGCGGAGTTTAATTTGAAATGCACAATAATTAATGTACTAACTAAATTTGGTAATACTAGACATTATTAGAAAAAATCCGATAAATAAGACTTTAGCAGCCTTCATAATTGTTGTTATATTTTTAATTATTCACAGTATTATTAGATACAAACTATATTCTGCTTTATAAGTTTGTTTTGCGTATGTTATAAAGAGTTTTGGAACCTCTAGAATAGAGATTTTGTGACAAATTTTTTTCACTTTCTAATTTTGTTATTATTTTCTTTTTTTAGTTAGTCTACTTCTTAATATATACATTTAGTTTATTTAACCCTGAAATAAAGTGATGCAATGCATAATTACTACATTGGGTATATCCAGAGTCACATACGTTATAATAGTTGAAATTTCCCTCCCTAGTATGTTACTATCCAACGTACATAGCACAGTATTTAATTTATTTTTTATTTTGTTTATTTTATTTTTAGTATTATTTGTATTATTTGTATGAAAATGAGAGGATTGTCAAAAT